TGGGGGGAGGTGGGGGGGGGTTCTAGAACCAGATCTGTCACGAACTGCCTACGTAGCCTCCGGCAAGTTACTTCACTCCTCTGGGATCTGTTTTTCTTATCTACAAAACTAAGAAGGGTGGACTAGATGCCTTCCAGAATCTATGGGAATAAATACACTGAGCTGTAGACATTCAGAAGTCAGTACAGCATTGAAGAAATGAACAAATCAATTGAAAGCAATATGCTTAGGTTCATGTAATTTCATGTTCTTTTAAATTCATGTTCTTAGCTGTCGTAAGGTATTGCAGGCAATTATATCTTCTCTCTTGAGACCTCTTTCCTCCTTCCTCAGTGTCCCATTAAATACCTGCTCCAACTCTATACCTTCCCAAAGACTCTCTTTCTACACTCCCACTTTTTAAAATCTGGAACAATTCACATTTTGAAGGGCTAAATAATTTTCCTTCCACCCTTTGTTATGAGACTCCAATTCTACATGAAATACTGAGTTCTATGTAACTAGGCTTCCCCTCTTCTTCCGTCTTGCTGTTACCAGCTCCCTTTACATCCGAATAAAGACATGTGTCAGGCAAGAGGAGCAAGGAAGCGGAGGCCCCTAGGCTGGTGAGAAGACCAGCTGTTTCATCTTGGGCCTCTGACTCGGGTCACCTGTGACGCAAGAGGTTCTGCTCTGCTAACGTCCAGGTTTCTGTTTGGCTTTGCATTCTAGCACCAACTTTTTAGGACTGCAGGAAAAGTTCGCCCTTAGTTATTCTGTTGACTCCTCTCTATCTTTCTGGAGTCATCAGTAGAAGTAATTTCTTTAAAACCCCTTGGGAATGCCACAGAACAGTTCTGCGCTTTCTCAGCAAGCAGGGAAAGTGGGATGCTAACAAGGCATAGTGTCTTTGGCCTGCATGTGAGGAAGGGTCAGGGAGCTATGGAGCAGATGGGCTGGACAAAGCCAGCAGAGGAAGCGTGGAAGTGGCTGAAATCTCCACGTGGCTGCAAGTCTCTACTTACAACTCTGGAATCTCCTTCTAAACCAGACAAAACTGCCCTTAGGACACTCCACGGAAACTGACCTGCAGAACCCTTTCCAATCTCTTTTGCAATCTCTGCTGTTTCTGTCCACCTTCATTGAACTCTAGCTGCTTGGGTTAAATGTGTCCCCCAAAGGTTCATGTATTGGAGACTTAATCTACATTGTAACAGTGTAAGAAGGTGGGAAATCCTATTGTGGTAATTGAAAGGTGGGGCGATTAGGAGGTGATTAGGTTGTGAGGACTGTACCCCTGTGAATGGATTAATCCATTGACGGTTTAATGGTGGTCATGGGTGTGGTTCTGACAGCTTTAAAAGAAAAGCAAGTAAGCAGGTTAGCTCTCTCTCACTCTCATTTTCCATGTGACACACTACAAAGAAGGCCTTCATCAGATGCACCCCTGGACTGCAGACTTCCCCGCCTCCAAACTGTAAGAAATAAATTTCACTTCTTTGTAAGATACCCAGTTTCGGGTGTTCTGCTATAAGCAACAAAAATGGGTGAATATAGTAGCTGCAATTCATCATCTCACAAAGACATGTCTGGTGCAGCCCCTCCCTCTGAGATGAAATCTTTTAGATGCCTTTTATTAAACAGGAGGCAAGTAATCGGAGGGCAGAAGAGAAGGTGTGCAGAAACTAAAACTGGAGGCTGGTACTTGGCTGATGAGTGGCTGGGGTGGGTGTGCTGCAGGGAGCCCATGCTGCCAGGCCCCCACGGGCACATGTGAATACACTGTAGGCCTCCGAGAAGGTCTGCTCCTAAGTCAACTTAGGAGTTATTTCAGTGGAAAAGAAGTTTAACATCACCTTCCAAAGACCTTCTCTCTTCCCTGTGAAAAAACAGAGTGATTTTAAAATAAAAACAAACTCCTCTAAAATCAATAGTCCTGTATCTTTGTGTCTTCTTCTCCCCGTCTTCTCATATGTCACAATTTATTCAAGAGCTATTGAAAGGGGGTCAGAGAAAAATGAATGAGCTCCAGAAGAATGAGATTGTCCCTCCAAGTTAGGGTTTTATGATCATGTTCCATTTTGTTGGGAAGACCAGATGGAGGTTATGATGGTGTCTAAGTATCCTTCATCATGCTCCCTGAAACAATGCTTTTCTCCTAGACCCACACATTTAAATTAAAAGTCAACATTTTTTCCCAGTAATGTTTACTTAAGATGACCATGACACATCTGTCTGACGGTAAATTACTAATAACTGTACCATGAACACACAGAAATTAAAAGAAGAAACAATTCTGAAAACAGGTACCATAGACAGAAGAAAAGTGAATGATGGATCACCAGGTCACCTTAATCTTGTTTAACCAGGAACTTATTAACATGCTACAAAATGGATCAGATGTTTCAGGTTTAAAAGCTTTTTCAGAATAATCGGTTCATGTAAAGTACTGGAAAATTAAGTGAAATTCAATAAAAGTGCCCTGGGAAATGCAATAACTTACTCACCTAAGCAGGACTGAACCCACGTCAGCCTCTGGTTTTCAGAGGTTGTGACTCGTCTAAAGTGTTGGGGGGGAAAAGGGTAGACAAGAAAACAGTTCAGGACTCCAGATTCCTGGTACCTCTGCTTCACCAGGAGGAGGAAGTCACCATTTCAGTGCCATGAGCTCTGGAGAACTGTGCTGTGGGACGTGAGTGGGGGTGTGAGGCACACGTCTCCAGTCTTCCTCTGATAAAGAGTTATCACAAATTTTCTGGCTGGTGGCTTTTAGTTTCTCTGATCTTTTAGCTATGTGTCATTCCAGAACTGTGATAACGATGGAGTTGACTTAGAGATCTGCCAGAAAAGGATTCCAAATCAACTTCAAAGCCTGGCCACTCTGCCAAGTTGGAGGCAGAGAAAATAAATGCAGAGAAAGAAAAGATGTGGGGGAATGCTGGATGGTCATGGATGGTAGAGAGCAGAAGCTCCCATTCCCAAGTGCTCCCCGTGCCCATGGGGCATGCAGTGCCCACTTCTTTGCTCATCTCTCCTAGTGCCACGTGTTCTCCTCCCAGCAGTGGCACATAGGTGGGTGGGGCTGTGCATCTCCTCCAGGGCGGCTAGGCAGGCTACTCCACCAACCACATGTTCAAGGGGCGGGGGGGGGGGGGGGCAGAGGACAGAGGGGCAAAAAATCCTAACTCCGATTTTACACAGTTTAAAAAAAAAAAAAAATCATAGTTTCAATTATGAGAATTTCTCTGAATTGAATATATGTAGTCCACCAAAGGAGAGCCCAGAGAAGGTGCTTCAGGCACTCAGTAACAGCAGAAAGGCTCAAGGAGACCAATTCACTAAAATGCAATTCTGCAGTGGTGCAGACTGAATTCTCTACATGCGCTGGTATAAGGTGGCGCAGTTTTAATGCACTTGAACTCACAGAAAGAGTTCTTCTGCAACTTCAGTGCCATTCTCTCATGTAGTACTAACACTTCCAGACATATCTAAAAGCCACATATAAAGATGAAGACACAGAAGCCCCCGCTGAAAAGAGAAGAGACTCAAATTACCTGTTCCATTTCCATCTAATCCTCGCAAATAAGGAAAACTGTCCACCTCCGAGGGGGAGCCGGCGGCCGTGAGAAAAGCAGTCAGATCACTGTAGCTGGTGTTCTCGGGCAGCCTCAGAGCCCTTCTCTGGAAATGCACGCGTGGCTGCGGCCGGGCACCTGCGGGGACAAACCTCTGAGTTACCTCTGTGAGGAGCAGTTTCTGTTTTTAGAAAATGCAAAACCAGGAAGCGCTGCTCTAAGGTTGCAGCACGCCTCCTTCCTACATGGCCTCCCATCCCCCATTCTGCAGGACACAAAGATGTGACAACATGCTATTATGGGGAGAGAAATAATAGCCCATTGTCACATTTGTTTTGACACAGGATGTTATTTGGGTTTTTAACAAAAAGCTTTTTCCAAGTTCTCTTTGTGAACAGTCTTTCTGCTGCATGGCAATTGCCCATGATCTGGGTAACATTTGGGGAAAGTCCGTGTAAGTGAAACAAGTAGATGACAATTAATCTCTTGACACAAACAACACAAGAAATACTGTTTGATGCTGCTACAATATCTTGAATCTTGAGTCTCCCTGGTAAAATCTGGTTTAACTCCGCAGACCAGACTGAAGCAGAGCAAGGAATGAAAAATAAATCCCTGAAAAGAACTGCAAACACGCACCCCCCAGGAATGAGCCCTTTTCTCTCTGTAGAGGCTGCCATTTGGCATCCAGTCTATTCTGGAGAGGCGCTTCCTACTTGTGACAGATTACGTCGCAGGTTTTATGATGAGACATTTGAAATGATGCGAAATGATGCTCCTTCACCCAACTCGACTGCTTTGTGCAGGGGGTGGATTTAGCCGACAGGCCCAAGTTACCTTGTGACATCACCTGCAGTTGAACTCTGTCCTAGATGATGTTCGGATCGTAAAACCTGGACCCGTTTTATTAATGCTGTGATGACAGTCACAGGATGTAAAGGTGCTAGTAATTTTGCACAAACTGGACAAAAACATCATTAAGACAAAAATCGTATATTCTACCCCTGGCTTGAGGCAGACCACATTTCCCCAGTGCTCCGCCTGAAGGGTCATTCTCCCCAGCTGGCAGCTGACCTAGTACACAGCCCTGCTAGAGTCAGTGGACTTTATACTCACTCCAGGGATCCTTGTAACCCTGGACCACAGGATTTATAACGCAGGAATAATAGGAGAAATTTAGAGCTCACAGGTCAACTGATCCATCTCTCCTCCCATATAGGTGAGGCCCAAGGGACCTATGCAGACTTGTTTTCTGTGTTTTTTTGAATGTGCAGGTACGTTATCATTCACCTTTCACACTAGCACAGCTCCAGCTATTTTTTTCACAGCTTGACAGCGTTTATGTATACAAAAACCCAGCAAGAAGCATTATGTCATGTAGATTTCAGTAAAGGAGAATGTAAAACATCACTCAGCCAGGCTTTGTTTTTTGCAGCAATAATAAAGGGCCTCCTACACTAAGCAAAAATCTGTCTTCCTTTGTAGTGCATTTCTTCCATTACAAATAAATTCTCCTGCCTAAAGCAAACTAACTTGTATTTGCTGAGACAGTGGTATTAACTCATGCATAAAACAAATTTTGGTTTGCTGTGTCTTACAGTAAATTTCAAGTAAAAATGAGGTTGAAGGAGGAACTTGTTTTAGATGGATGCAGGTCAGTTTGTTGCTATACTTAACTAAATGCCTACATGGACTATAGGTTCACAACTTAGTTTGCTTTTATAATAATCTTTATGGATTTTGGCTGTGTTCAAGGTTTTCAGAGTTGAGCATATGGTACAGTATTCCATCAACAGAATAAGGCTACTGAATGTGCTATCTGCAGAAGAGCTCATTTAATAGAAACTGACCTAAAAGTTCTATCATGAAGCAAATGTGGCATAACCTCTCTGAATAAAAAGCCTAACAGGGTCAGAACTGTGCCTGGAAATAGGCATTAGAATACTTTAAGCAAAACACATACAAGTGGGTTGTTAATATGAAGACGGTTTCCTAGCAGTCAATCTAAAAAAAGTCCAGGCCAATCCTCATTTTCAAAACTGCATGTTATGGGCCGGCCCGTGGCTCACTCGGTAGAGTGCGGTGGCTGTGTTCAAGGTTTTCAGAGTTGAGCATATGGTACAGTATTCCATCAACAGAATAAGGCTACTGAATGTGCTATCTGCAGAAGAGCTCATTTAATAGAAACTGACCTAAAAGTTCTATCATGAAGCAAATGTGGCATAACCTCTCTGAATAAAAAGCCTAACAGGGTCAGAACTGTGCCTGGAAATAGGCATTAGAATACTTTAAGCAAAACACATACAAGTGGGTTGTTAATATGAAGACGGTTTCCTAGCAGTCAATCTAAAAAAAGTCCAGGCCAATCCTCATTTTCAAAACTGCATGTTGAAAACATGCAAACTATTTATTCAAGTAATTTCTTCAAAAAAGTATGCATGTTCTGACTGTGGAATTACTCTATTGGTCAATTAAAGGCAATTTTAATGACCTTTTTAAAAATTCTTCATAGAAAGGAGAGGGGTTGTGTGTGTTTCTTCAATAAACAGCATTATGTAAGTCCATTTAAAAAAAAAAAATCAACAACAAAAAAACAGAACTGAAGGAAGACCTACAAATGCTTTTGCCAAGCAGGAATCTGCCTGCCACCTGGGGTCTCACACTAATTCAAAATAGATGTTGGATTCAGGATTCTGAAATTAAGTTTCTATAACTCGAGTTCTAGCAAAATGTAAGGTTCTGTAGCCTCAGCTAGTATAATGTCTTCCCTGTCCAAATCCAGCATGATTATACTGATAAGCTCTGTGCTGTAAGTGCTGTTCAAACTGACGCCCTTGGTGATAATTCTGGCTTCCCCTTCCTCCCCAACCTCCACCCTGGCCTCCACGACCACCTCAACCTCCATGACCACCGCCTCAATCACTATGGTGCTCACCATCTTGATATCTATTGTCCTGCTGGTATCTACCACCTTGGTATCTACTTTCTGTATATGAAGACATTTGGAAGCCACCATAACCACTGCCTTGGTAGCCACCACTATGGCCAGCATGATAGTCGCTTGGCTGGATACCCGAGTCCCAATAACCACTATCTTGGTGGCCATCTCCTCCTCCACTCCCTCCCTCTGTCCAGCCTCCTGATGCTTATTTCCTCCTCCTCTCCCTTGGCCACCATGATCACAGCCACCATGATTACAGCCACCATGTCCATCTTTCCTCCTCCTTGTTCATGACCTCCTTATCCTTCACATGAGGAATGTTCATAACCATCTCTCTCTCCTCCTTGGTCTCCTGCTTGTTGCTGGGGGCCATCCTTCCTTTTCTGCCATGGTGGCATCTCTGAGGGTGGAGGCTCAATTTCACTGAGTCTGCCACCTGTCAGGCACTCTGCCCATCAACGCATTAGCTCTGCAGACCAGCCAAAGGACTGTACGGTGACATCCAAATATTTTTACTAGCAGCTTTCTCTGGACTTCATATTCATCAGCTGTGGCTTGATGAATTGCTTCTGTCTTCTCCCAGTGGGCTGGTCCCAATGGCTTCTTCAATAAAAGCTTTCCCACATGATTAGGTGGAACTTTTGCTAATGTCTCCTTGAATTTTTTTTTCAATCCTGCTGAAGAACTGGAATGTAGTTATACTGGCTGGAGGTTTGGACATTCCTAGAGCAGTACATGTACCTTTCAACTCTTGAAAGATATCACTACCGCCTTCTTCTTGAACTTTCTTTGGAGGAGCATTCACGAAGGGCATTCTGGAAGCTTCTAGTTCTGAGATGAGGTACGTGAGCAAAAGGATGCTGTTCTTCTGAATGAGAAGGCACTTGGTCACATCTCCAGATGTCAGGGAAAGTTACGGGCAGTCCATTCCCCTTGATGCCCACTCACCTTCAGCTAGAATTCTGCAGCTTTGCATGGACTCAAACTTTGGACTGCAAGCTTTGCTTGCAGATTTTCCTCTAGTTTACAGAGCACTCTTAATTCAGACACCAGCCAAGCACAGAGTTTGGTAAACTCAGGGGAATTGGCTCCAGCAGAGACTGCCTGAGGCAGAGTGCCATCTTCCAACAATGTGCCTGGTAACCTAGATCTTCCAATGACTCCAAGATGTCAGTCTCCAGGAGGTCACACTCCATGCTACTGTGGTATTCAAATGTCTGAGTTGTCAGGCTCCCCACTTCTCCGGCAACATGTACACTCACGCATGCACTACCTCTCTAGAACTTGCAAATTCACTTACATAGACTGGTGTCTGGAGTAGGCTGTCTTGGACATACTACCTAAGTAGAGAGTCACATTGCTCCCTCTACGCTCTAAAAGTCACTGATTAGACTTCTCCAGTGGCTATTCCCCACTCTGGGAAATGCAGGCCTAGGTTTACAGCCCATGAGAGCCAGGTGCCAGGATTAGTCCTATCTAATCCCGATCACCTCCACTGAACTAACTGGACACATGCTCTGTCCAGACCATCAGTACTCTTTCTTTATCCCTAAAACAAACCCACAGCAATGCACTAGCCTCTGTGGATCTGGATCTTCTAACATTCTCTCATTCTTCTTAGTTTGGTCTTCTTTTCTTTTGATTTTCCAGAGGATCAATGTCTCATCCAGCCGTCTCCTTGGTGTGCATACAATTGGGACTGCTTGGTGCTCTGTGCCCTGTGGGGAGCAGACTGCTTTGCTCTTCCCCTTCCATAACTTGGCCACACGACCCACTTGCTCCTCACCCCCAACTACCTAACAGCACTCATTGCTTCTATTCTTATCTTTTTCAGTGATAGGGAAGTACACATTCCCTACTGTTTTTCAGTTTAAACAATGCTGCTGATGTTATTCAGTTAACATGCCCCTGTGTACAGCCTGGGTTTCATGTCATGGAAAAGCAAAGGACTCTGCTAATATGAAGGAAAGCAAGGCATGTTTAAATGTGATGAGGCAAAAAGGAGCTTGTCCTCATGAGGATCAAGGCAGAAAGCAGAATGCAGGCTGGTTACCCCAGAACAAGGTGGGATAGGTGTATCCCTCCAGGCTTCAGGGAGGGTCCCCTGTGAGATGGGAAGGCTGAGATCTGTGGGAAGCCTCCTTTGGCCTTCAGGTAGGAATGAAACCTATTCAGATGAGATCAAAGAAAAGGGAGG